AGTACTCTTCGTATTCACTCATGTTTAGCTAAATTATTCTCCTTTGTACAACTACTACAGTAAACTGATAACAATTTCACCGTTCCATTCGATTATAATCAAAACCAAATCACAAAAAATCCCAACCAAAAGTCCCTCATTTATGACAGCATAGTAAATTACTTCATATAAACCCTAATTTTGTTCTTTTCTTTATTATTCCCTTGAAGTTAATGAAAAGTGCCACTTAAGTATGACCAAACTACTGTATGATTGAAAAGTATGCGACTACAGATTTCGTAGCACTTCATAGGCATGTTCTACTTCTTAGATTTATACAATATACTGAAGAGGATTAAGGCTAAGAAAATGAAAAATCCATTCATCCGTATCTAAGGGTACACATTAAAGATAGTTTTCAAGATGCTTTATTCACTCTGATCTATTCACAAGATTAATGCGACTTGCAGACAACTAGTAACTAGTTATCATTATGTAATATAATTTGGCTGAGTAAGAATCCTTATCTCCAAACAGTTTCAGTCAGTATCAAGATCCACAATGAGAAGCCAGTTATGATTAGACACATTTTTCATTACCTGGCTATAATGTAGTGTTTTGAAAATGTATACCGTTGTGTACATTTCTGACAAAGCTGCTGTCAGTTCCTGCTTGACTAAAATTATACGGGAAAAGGATTTCTTAAACCTCATTTCTTTGCAAGGGTACTGTGTCCTTCGAATTGAAAATGCCTATAAGCGTTTGAATGCATTTTCAACATGTAGTGATTAAGCCTGGTCACTGGTTTATACCTGTCACAACAATCTGAAAATGAAATTCTCGATAGTAATTATAAGTAAACAGTACTAAATGGTGCAATTGTTTATTCATTGTGTAACATGAAAGATGTTACACGCTTATTAATGGGGAAAACTTTGACGAAAACATTGTTATGAGTAGTTTTAATGAATAGTAAGATACTGAAATGCCACACATTATTCCCCCCTTTTGTCACCAAACAAAAAGCCATTCGTCGCAAATCCACCACTTGCAGTTTTATAGGTAATGTTTTTGAGATGTGTTTGATATAATCTACCACGTGCGTTTTAGTTTCGTTGACCATATGTAAAGATTCCCTGCTGCTTTTTTTTACAGCGTTCTCCCACTTTAGATCAATGTGAAGTGATCAAGGATATATGCAATTCTTCCTTCTATGCTGGGCACTGGATTTAAGATGCTGATTCTATAACCTAGTTTCATGGCAACACCTAATATGCTTTAATTTTTTTTACTGTTGACTGGAATGTAAACTGAAAATGCTACGTAAACAAGATGAGTTTGAAGCTACGAAACGAAAGTAGTATCTTTTAGTTAAGACTGACCAAATGATAAGCAAAATAACTAACAATCTATCTGTTTTCGGTGGAAACTAACAGTCCTAGATGAATATCTCATCCACCCATATGGATAACAAACTAGACTCTCAAGCAGGTGAAACTCGCTAAATGCGTGTAAATATCTGAGTTGTAGATGTTGCACGAAGATCTGCTTTACTCATGTAGCTTTAAATTACCAGTGACAGATGTATAAAGACGAAATACAAAACCTGCCACTAACCTGAAAACTTTATTTAGATTTTGTATATTTATTTCATCCACTTCGCCTGGACTCGAAAACTAAATACAAGTTATCAACTTCATTTAATGTGTTTGTAAAACACAAGATCTCAGAAAGTAGCTTGAAATTAATTAGTAAGACTGAGAGAAATAGACACTTTTCATTAAAAAATTTACCACAGTCACTAATGCAGATAATTTATTCAATCAAAAATGATCGTATGTAATGAGCGAAAAGTACTGCTACTTTCCAGGTTAATTATAATACCTATCAGTCATCTTTTGTTTTTTGGGCAGTAAGGACTAGAGTTAAGCCTCCCATTTATTTATAAACCTTCACTGGGAACCAATCATGAAGGCAAGGATTTTTTGAGATTTTTATATTATTTAGCTTTGGAGATATATTAACGTATTCATCCTCGATGCATTATGTTAGTGAAGTGTTTTACAGATATCATTTTGGCCTAAATAAATGGTACACTTGAGAATGGTAACGCTCTTTCACTACCTGTTGTTGTCGACCAAAACCCGGATGAGATATGAATTTTTAGTACACACGGGAGGTAACTCTCACGAGAAATCAAAGTGATTCCAATACAGTGTGGGAAGGCCAAGCTGTGAACAGTTGCTCTTTGTCACCGTACAGCCTTCCAGAAAAGTGAGCAGTTTCTTTCGGGATTAGTGCCAACACTCTGCTGATTAATTCATCGTACAGAAGGACAGAGAAGACTTGTTGTAGTTGACAATGTCACTGTAGCACACCCAGTTGATGCTTATGGCTTTGAATAGTTTCGATAGAAACATTAAGCAACCTATGTAGTAATTCTCAATTGTCATTTGACTGGCTGCTGATGTTTAGATCTATTATTGTCAGTGATGCGTGCTAAATCAAAACCATAATATCAGACTATCCAATTTTTTGATCTAAATACTACATCTTATTCTTTTTCACCACCGGAATCGTTTATTACACCATTCTATTTGATGGCGGTTAGTTTAAACAATAGGTCTAGTAGTGATTATCAGGAAAGCAAAACTCCAACTATTCACAGAAGCCAGATAAGTAAAGTTACAGATATCTGAAGCTTTACAGGAATTGGAGGTTTCGGAATTTCATGTTTCAAGAAAACAGTGTTCTGGTATTAGATAACTAGGTTTTATGCATTAGATGCATATTTTACTGGTAGATTAAGATGAATAATGCTTACTTTCTCACCGGAGACAGTAATGTATAGCGTTTTTCGAAAACCAAACCTATTTATACTCTTTGAGTAGATTACATTTTCCCCATCTTATTCTTCTTCTACTTGTCCTTGAAAGCTTTTCAAGTAAAATGACTGTTTCAGTTAACTTCAGCTACCATATTAGCCAGTATAGTAGCAATAAAAAATAAGTACAATTTATTGATTATTTTCCATTTAGGTGAGTGACTACTGCTTAGTGATCACACATTCGTATTTGACTTTTATATGGGTGATATCTTGCACAAAAAGACTCTCCATCATTCTGAAAATTAATTTAATATTCTTTCATATCAGAAGGTGGATCCTATCCACTGATATTGTATAATCATTCATCAAAGAATTTTATTACCTAACTTCTGCTTCCTGTTGTGGTGGCTTGTGAGTTACACTAGTTAGTCCATGCTACTTAAAACAGGCTTATTAATAAATTTTTTCATTGACTTTCTACCTAGTCTTAAGTTTGCGATGAGAAAATTAAAAGATAGGTGAATTCGATCCATTAGTATGCATAAGTTGTGTGTGCACGAACTAGTTTACACGTGAAGGTAGTACTCATCAAAGATAGACCACTTGGAGAACCATAGGAAATCTGGGAGTACAGGACAGCTGTTTTGTTCTGGTATAAGACTACTCATCAGTGCGCACGCACGACTCGCCAGGGTTTGTACCTAGGATCATCAGGTCTTGCAGTGAAGACGTTGTCACTCAGTCAGTGCGTTATAATCCAACTGATTATATTTTTCTTACAAGATAGCGAGCAGATACTGCAGAGTTAATGATAGCATTTTAGTATGAAACATAATCGTAAGCTAAATGAAGTAAGAAGTCTCCCTACTGCACTGAAAAACCCAAATGCATGGTTCAGACATTGAATAAAGAAGTTTTCTTAGTTTACTTCAGTGTTAATGCAACAAGATCCAGGCTTTTGAACTACAGTGGATTGGAACTGGTAAAATATTTCTGAAACTTTAGGAAATATACCATGCGTTGCGCTACGAAATCCTATTTACATTATAAACTTGGATATGGAACAATAAGTGTCCTCTAAGTTTGAATTTTCCATAGTTTGAGCTTTAGAAATCCATCTCAGTATCTTCGATGCAGCTTCACGACAATTAGTGACTATATCACTGATGAATTTGATCTGAATTGATACAAAGGAATATTTTTTAACTGCTTGCTCTGAATGCTCTTATATAATCTGATTGAATGAAGCAGGCTTACCTATAACGAAATAAGTATGTAACTGAAGGTTAATGCTTTACATCATACAATATAAAGTCCTTGAAAATGTGTCCATATTTACCATTGAAAAGAAATGAAAATTCATTTCCTGACATTAATGTGTATGCATCATTTATGCAAATCAGAAAGCAATGTGCTTTATGAACTAATCCTAAATAATGTATACGGTCCAAAGAAAGAAATCATGAATGTATGAGTTCATTAAGTGGTTCAGACAGAAGTTTTATCTTACAATTTGTCCTATAGCAATGCAAATTCGGAAGTTAAAGTCCATATAATGTTCGTCAGTCTGAACATAGGCCTCATAACCAAATATTAGTACACATAGTACCTAGTTTAAGGACTACTTGTCAACAACCTGCAAACATTCTATATGAAAAAAAATGTATATTTTAGCTTTTATTTACTTTGAACGGTGAACTTTTGTTCAAATCTATTAATCCAACATGACATGGATTGTCAATTAACGATTATTTGTTTTACGAGTGAAAATTTCAGGAAAACAAGGAAATAAGTTCAGACAGATATGAAATACGAATGCATTCAAACAAACTAACTTGCTACATTTGTAAGGTGATTAACTCAATATACATGTCATGTAATTAAAGAGAAATTAAATATAACTTACCTTCGTTCCGGAGGAACTAATCATATCCGATTCCAATGACGTATTATGTCCAAAAAAATTGTTCAACTATTTATCTGTCTTCAAAAATTATTTAATTTTGAAGAATTTCTATTTTTTGTTGTTGTTTGTTTCCATTTTGAAAATTTGACCAGTAATGTTGTTCTGTTTAGCTGTGCATGATTAATATACACACTGGTAGATATTATTCCTATTTGGATAAAACATCACAGCCGACACAGTAGACATAACGAACTATAGACAAATATGCTAAGATAATTTATATTACTGATGATAAATAACAATGATAATAATGTTGTTATGTCAGTACTACGACAGGGAATTTCTCTGTATGGTACATACGACATATGTCTGTCACATATTCAGCATTATGTGGATACCGATAATGCCAATACGAATGTTGGTAACAACACTAATATATCTGGTAATGATAAGATTATTGAGAAACTGATTACAACATATGCTGATGAATGAAATTAGTTTGCTTAGAATTATAAATTTTCTCTATTTTTTGGTGGGGGGAGAATTAAGCATTGCCTGTGATTCGTTACACATATGCACAGTTGTTTTATTTATTTTTTGCCCTCAGATCAGAAAAAGCTGAATAAAGTTAAGTAGATAGACAGTAGGCGGAATATGAGGATAGGCAGTTGGAATAAAAATATTCTGATCGGTAGAGTGGATGTGGAAAGAGAGTAGAAAGGCATAAAAGAATAAAAATAGAAAAACTATGTAGAAGAAAGAGTTTTTTCCATGAAGGGGACAATTAATTAGCCACTCTAATTTATATTCTTGTTCAGTGTTCATATCAGCAAGTGATCTCATACATATACGTACATATATTTGTATATATGCATATATCTGTGTATACAGGAGAGAGAAATTCTTTCCCTTGTAGGGATAGAGACAGACATTGTATGCTACATGGAATGAATTCACAAATCAGCAATAGGGAGAGGGAGAAGTAAAAATGAGAACACTTAGTTCAAGTGTAGAAAAATTTTTCTTCTTGTCACCGGTCCTTATTTGTCTCTGTATATGATTTCTACTAAATAAATTATTACACACCACAAGTAACTTAACTACTCGACCTCCTATTCTTCATATCTTTAACTTATTTCCAAAAATGTCACTTCTTAGAGTTTAATCTTCAATAATTTCAGTCCAATATAATTTTGTTAAACATGTGTAAATGAAAATGTACCGGATTTTGTGAAACAGTATTCTCAGTATCAGAATCTTTGATATGCATAACAGAAATACACCACTTATCCTAGGTAACCTTCTTGGTGTTGCTGTTCACTCTACGATCGTAAGGGTAACTGTTTCAAAAGTCTGCTAGTTGTATTCGCAGTTAACAATTTCCATATGTAACCTCATGAATGTGTGAACAATAAGTAACCTAACAATAATAGTTAATTTTAACACAACTCATGTGCAGTGTGGAAGTGGACTTAGTTAATATGAATCATCTACACATTCTGGTTATAACTGAAATCTTTCCCTAAGCTTGAACTTTAAATCTTATTTGACGGAGTCAGCTGAAGTTGACACTCGGTGTGTGAAGAAAGTATTTCGCGATTGCTACTAGTTTTTCGTTCGTTTTAGTTATATCTTTCATTTTTTCGATCAAATCTCATTATTTTATTTTTACTTACCTACGGTGCCTTCTAATTAGGACCATTAAATCTATAAGTTTACCCGAAAAAGTGTATATAGGCAGACTTTTGGATCTGCTGTCAGACAGAATTAAACTTTTAAGCCCCATCGGTGAGACTAACAAAACACGACTCATTGAACAGCAGTTTAATAAATTCTCAGCAAGACCAAGAAATAAATAGATAACCGATAATGTTTACGATTAAAGTAGGTCAACCGCCTCCATAAATCCATGGCTTAATGGTTTGCCGAAAATAATTAAAGGAGGAGAACCCATTACATTGTTCCTAGACATTTCTGGATAACACAGAAGGCTAACTGAAGTTCCAGAACCTGTAAAAAGAGAAAGATCGCTTTATTTCATTTTCAAGTACTTCGAATTCGTCTACTGCATAAAGAGTGTGAGAATTTTAACAGAATTATCACCATAATTTTGATGTGAGGTTACTTTGTACCATTGATTCACTTGCCGGAATGTTTTAACATTCCGGCTTATATATACTAAAGTGTGATAACCGCTTGAATTTCAAAGTATTTATTTCATATATGAAAGAATTACTGCTGGAACTCACCTCGCCTGGTTAACCAGTTCACTAGTTACTAGCCGGTCCTAAGCCCGGATAAAGGAGAAAGGTTGGGCATACGGCTAGCAACCCTACCACAGAAAACACATCCAATTGCTTAAGAAACTTCAAAGCATAAAGGAATTATAAAAAATAAAAACAAACTTATTCCTTGCTAGAATCGGAAAGACGAAATCACGCCGGTTGGTGAAAGCCTGCCTTCGGGAAGCCAATTGGCCGATGTGTATTCTCGCGATGAAAACGAAAGTAAGGATGGGGACATGGAATGTCCACACAATGTTTGAGGCTCACTGACAAGGTTGCCCAGATTGCAAAATAAATGACGAGATATAGCATAGAAGTGTTAGGAATCTGCGAAAGCAGATGCAATGGAAGTGGAGTCTCCCAACTGTCAACTGGAGAGTCAATAATCTACTCGAATATTGTCACACAGATGACAACCACGAGCACACTCACTTATAAAGTGGCTATCATGATGTCCCCCTCACAACAGCATCAAAGGCTCTCTCCCATGCAGTGAGAGCCAATCTCCTCCTGCAGGATCAGGATCATGACAGCAAGATTCAACTCAAACGGAAGGAAAGTCACAATCATTCAATGCTACACTACACACCTACGAATAATGCAGATCGAGAGAAGAAGGAGGAATTCCATAGACAACTGCAATCAATACTAGACAGGACCACAGTTGGCGACATCAAAATTCTAATGGGTGGGGTGACATGAGTGTCAATCTGGGAGCAGACAACACAGGAAGAGAAATGATCATGGATCGAGAAGCACTCGGTGAAATGAGGAATGAGACTGGATAACTGTTTGAAGACTTCTCTGCATTCAGCGACTCTGTAATTGGTGGCAGTGTGTACAAACACAAGGATATTCACAAGGCAGCCACATGGATTTGATTTCATCAGACACCAGACACACTACAAATCAGATCGACTTCATGTCAATGTGAAGAAAGTGGAGATGCAGCCTACAGAAGGCAAGATCAGATGAAGACGGGGAGTAGATGTAGGTGGTTCACACCACTCACCATCTAGTGCAAGAAACTTGCATTCAAAAACAAGTTGAAAGCCTTCGAAGAAGAAGAAGAAGCTGGTGATAGACCACAGTTCAGGTTCAACAACCATCCAGAACAGAAACTGAACTCAACTGAACTGAACTGAAGGTAGAATCTACATGGGACATCTTCACGTCAGTCAGTCAGTCATCAGGACAAAATGCGAGACACTAAGCAAAATCCCTGAGGAAACCTGTGTGGAGGAAGACTGGAACTCTTTGAAAGAGATGTGGGAGGAAACCTGTATAACCATGTTAGGAAGGAAGAGGAAACAAGATAAGACAAGGAATTGATCTCGACGGCCACATGGAAGCTGATAGAGGAGTGAGAGGAAGATGGTGAAGCAGAAGATGAACCAGTTGAGGGATGCACAACGAAAAGAATAACTGAGTACAACGAATAAAAGACAAAGACAAAAGACACTTTTACAACACACTGGCAAGTGGTGCAGAACAGACTGCAGGTAGGAGAGACAGAGACCTGACAACATTACATCAAATAACCAGGTTACTATCCGGAAGAGATCAACTCAGACGAAACCAATGAAAGATAGTGAAGGAAAGCTAGTTACGAAAGAGTAGAAAGAAAGGAAACGATGGACTGATCACTTCAAAAGCTCTTGAGTCGACCACCACCACTTACAAATCGTCGAAAAATGCCATCAGCAGCTCAGCCACAGAACTACCAGTCAACATATGCCCCCCAACAAAAGCAGAAGTCCTGACTGCCATAAGGCTACTGAAATCCAGCAAAGCAGCAATACCAGATGGAATTCCGCCAGAAGCACTGAAAACAGACTCAGAAACATCAGCAACGGACATGCTGACACCACCACTGCAGAAGGTTTGGATAGAAGGAAGGGAAGGTATCTGTCGAGTGGAAGAGGGGTTACCTTGTCAAACTCCCAAAGAAGGGAGACTTAAGTCTTTGCAAGAACTGGTGAGGAATCATGCTCCACTCCTGTCCACCCCAAGCACAATATTATGCCGCATCATCCTGGAGAGGCTAAAGCATGCTCTGGATTCAAAATTACGACCGGAACAGGCTGGCTGACTGGCTTCAGGAAGAACAAATCATGTGGGGATGAAATTGCAATGCAACGCTACGCTTCGCATCATCATAGAACAGAGTATAGAATGGCAGTCAACTCTCGATCTCAACTTCATCAACTTTGAAAAGGCCTTCGACTGCGTCAACCGAGAAGTAATTTGACAGTTGCTTCGACACTACAGTCTTAGTGCCACAAATCTTTATCAACCTCATTCAACAACTATATGAAGACGCCACATGCGAAGTGGTACACAATGGGAAGCTCTGTGAAGCCTTTGAAGTGAGGACAAGTGAAGAAGTAAGACAAGGTTACCGCCTACTATCACCGATGATCTTCCTCATTGTGGTCGACTGGATCATGCAACAGAAAACTGTGAGGTGCGAGAAGATGGGCATACGCTGGCTGAACCGATGAAAAGACCCAGGGGAAGATTTGGATTCCGCTGATGATGATGATGATGATGATTTATGTCTGATGTCTTGTCGCACAAACTTGAAGCTCTACAGGAGAAAACATACAAGTTGACAGAAGATGCAGAGCAGCAAAAACGGACTTCAAGTGGATGTGGAGAAGACAGAGGTGATGAAGATACCCAACGAACAACAGTATCAACAACAAGCACCGGTCACCGTCAATGGGAGAAATCTGAAGGAAGTTGTCTCTTTCACCCACCTAGCACGGCAGCATCGTTTCAACTACAGGCGGCACAGGCACAGACGACGATGTCAAAACCAGGATCGGAAAGACAGCAAGACAGGCTTCCACTTATCTGAAATCAGAGTGGAGATCTACTGCACTCCACTCAACACAAAGAACAAGATCCCGATTTTCAACATCAATTCAGTCAAGTCAGTGCTTCCATGTGATGCTTCAGACACTTGGCGTGTCACGAAAAGCACTTCCAACAAACTACAGACATACACCACATCAACAGCTGCCGCCTACGCTCACTCCATACTGAAGATCAGATGGCCAGAATAATGAGTATAAGCACCAGGGATCTCTGGTCTGGCAATGAGCCAACCAAGAAGTTTTCACCCAACAAATGTGAAGAAGTAAGTGGAGATGGATTATGGATTGGGCATAGAGTGAGAAGATGGTTTGGGGACATCATGCG